AACGTCGATGACGACAACGATAATGATTATACACCTTTGCATGCATGCATACACACACACACACACACACCTTCACACTGAAATTACCTACCTACACCTTTCGGGAGGGAACGTACCTGACGAATCTCAGCCGTGGGTTTGACAGTGGCAGCAGTGAGTACTTTGGGCTGCAGGCGCAGTACCGCCTCAATCTCTGCCGAGTGCCGGCTCACTTCCTCGTGGTTCAACGACGAGAAGCATTTGGTGCTGCCACGCACACCGCACCCATCTTTACACCTCACTGGTGGACAGGCGAGTGACCGCCTTCCCGCACACACCAAATCCACGTGTCGACGCAAGACCCTCTGCGCTTGACGATACATCCAACCACAGCACTCCCCACCGGATTAACACGCACCGCTACTGTTGCACATCCATTTTATTTCACCATCCTCCTAGCAGCCAATAGCAGCGCAGCGAATGCTGATTGGCTGGTCGACTGATTGGTTGATTGTGTGTGATGCGAGATTCTAATTCACTTCGACCTGACGAGGGCTTCTGCTTCCTAGCTAATCGACAGTCGTTTCAAACGCCACGCCAAAGTTGTATTGCATGCAAGGTAGAGGTTGTAGTCTCGGCGTCCTCACGAGAAACATGGCGCATGTTTTGCATCCGCATAAAGATGCGTTGTCAGACCGACTGTAAAATTCTTAGTTATGTCGCATTGAGTGGGAACTGTTAGGCACAGTAGCACGTGCACGCTTCCCTCAAGGGGTACTAACGTGACAATGATTCCTCAAGTGTTGATTCGCCTCCTTTCAAAACAAACCATCACCAATTGCACTCTCACCACCATCCCATCGAGTCCTCCAATATGCCTTACAACGTTAGTCAACTATCTCCTACATCAATGTCCACACGAGCAAGAGAGTAAAGATTGTCGAGTTGTCCCGTAAAACAAGAGACAGCGTGTCTTGTGCATAATTTACCGCTCCGGCATGAGGAGGATCCACGAAACACAACAACCACTACCTAGAGCTTGGATTTGGCTCTTGACTGGCACTTTGATGGCACAACGTCCGGGTGCATTCGGCATGCGACGTTGACAACAAGTTGCATTGTCACGTCTTGAGACGTGATGCAGGGGATGCAAGCATAGCATAGACATAGGCAGCTGGCGTCCGACTGGATTAAACTTAAAGGGCCTCAATTGCGACTGCACTTGGACTGCGTAAACTCCTGGCTAAGGCCTGCCCAAGTGCGGTCACCACGGGAAGCTCCTCCGTCGAGCCAGAAACTGTGTCGCTTTACCGTTAATTTTACCAATTAGGCAATGATCAGTGTGTGATGCTCTTGGTGGTCCCTAAGCGAAAGGGAACACTGATTACAATATCAATGTGGCACCATGACATCGGAGAGAGTCCTAGTTCTCAAAATTAATCATCCCACAAACCTCAATGAGAGGCCGGTAACGGTTGCAAAGGAGCCCTTCCCTCCAGCCAGTGTTAACATTGCACAACACATCGGCAATCAGAAGCCACGGTTACGAGAAGGACCGCGTACAATTCGCCCCAATTCATTCATACATGCAGACATTCAACACTCGGCAATGCCAGACGAGGCGGTGGCACAAGAGTGGAGGCTCCACACCGCGGTAGTACTTCAACTCCAAGAGAATGTACCACAACACCACCTTGACATTCATTCCTCCAGTCGCTGAGCTTACTTTGATGACAAATTACCAATGTGTCACTATCTACATCGTCGCCCATTAAGTTGGGCGGAGACAAGGCGTTGCTTTCTACTCCGTAGTGTAGTAATTACACGCCCCTTCAAACAGTCTGTACCGCTACTCTCCCAACTCAAAAGCACACGATTTGTGCTTCAACCCACTCCTTGGACTCCGCTTCTCCAATGGATGAAGCGATGCTAGAGTGAAGACAAGGGCATCCCAGCGCTTCC